AATATGACCAATAAGACGAGTCATCCTTGAAAACTAGACCATCAAGAAGCACCAGTCACCTATGATATGACCAATGAGGTAGATCACCTTTAAAATTAAGACCATCAAAAAGGTTAGTTGCCTATGAGCATATAACCAATATGATAGGTCGTCCTTAAGAATAAGGCCATCAGAAGGGTCGGTCGCCCATGAGAATATGACCAAAAGATTAGGTCGTATTTGAGAAAAAAAACCATTAAAAAAGGCTAATTGTCTATGAGAATATGATCAATTGGGTAGGTTGCTCTTGAGAGTAAGACCATTAAGAAGGGTCGATCCTCCCCGAGAATATGACAAATAGGATAGGTCACTTTTAAGAACAAGACTAACAAAATAGGTCATTTGCCCTAGAGAATAAGATCAATATTGCAGGTCACCCTTGAGAGTAAGACCATAAAAAAGGATTGGTCATCTATAAGGATATGACCATCAATGTTATTGTCCATAAAAAAACAAAACACATTTCTTTACAAGCTTATTATGTAAAACCAATAAAAAATACATTTTCTATTAAGCTTTATGATACAAGCATTTTAAAGAGGGAACAACTATCATAACCTAATTTTTTACGCACATAATTATGTTAGATCTTTTTACAAATTTCTTTTTATTTATATAGTACAAATTTCCCATGAATTTTTTTTTGTTATTATTTATTAGTTTGCTTTTATCATTTGCTTTTAATTTTGATTCAATTATATTTATCACTTTGGTAAATAATAATAATAATAATAAATAAAAATAAAAGATAAGAGAAGATGAAAGAACAAAAAAAAAGATTTAATTTTAGATTTTTGGGTTTTAATTATGATTATTTTGAAAGTATCATGGGTTAGTTTAGAGATACAAAAATGTTAGGGAAGTAGTTAAGAGCAATGAGTGCTTAATTAGTGGAAATTGAGACAAGAAAGACCAAAATAATTCAAATAGAGGGTGCAATTGAATAAAAATTAAAAAACATAAAGAAAAAAAGGCTGTAAATAAAAAAATGTTAGGGAAGTAAAGAGCAATGAGTGCTTAATTAGTAGAAATTACGACGGGAAGAAAAAAATGATTCAAATAAAGGGGTTCAATTGAATAAAAATTAAAAAAAACACAAGGAAAAGAAAGCCAGTAAATGCCGGGATGAACTTAGATATGTCCTAAATGACTTGTGCTTCACCATGTCCCTTAACTTATCAATTTCCCTCTCCATACTATTCATCGTGTTCCATGCATAAAAGACAAAGACAAAAAAGTTGGAAAGAGCTTGGTTGACCCTCGTACCGACCAAGAATCCCACTCCAATTTGTCTACACATATGCCATATAATTCCCTCTCTTGCTAGCATATAAAAGTGGATCTTCCTTCTTCATTTCAAACTGCCAAGGATAGTTGCCCAAAACAATGAGAGAAAAGAGATAAGACCTCCACTGGCTAAAAACGAAAACAGAAGAGCATCCTAAGTACATATAAAGGAAAGGTTGAGTTGATGTGGTAAGGATCCAAAAGCCAAAATTAAGAGTTACGAGAGGGTTATATAAATAGAGGATCCATAATAGAGTAGGAAGAAGAGATTTCTTGTTTTAGATTTATCAAAAATAGAGGTTTTTATTTTTAGAAGAAACACGAGAGACTAAGGTTTTGAGAAAGCTCTAGTATCAAGTTTAAAATATAAGAAACAAAGAGTGAACAGAGAAAAAAACACTAAGTGGAGGTGAAAAGAAGCTTTAGTTTTAGCCCAAGAAACACCTAACAAGAATCTTCATCTAATTTTCATTATATACCTCATTTCTCTTTCTAGGTAAGCACAAATCTCTTCCTATCAAGTTACCACTCGTAATGTAAAAACAAGCATAAAAACCTCGTCCATGAAACCTATATGTTTGTTCGTTATTTTCTTAGCGATCAAGAAGAAGTCCTAAACTCTGTTTGTTTTCTTTACTTTACTTCACCTATGGTCACTAGTCTAATTTAATCCTTTAATTAAAAGAAAAAGAGAAAGAAAAAAGTCATACTTGTGTAAAAGAACGAAATTGGTAGTAATGTCAAGATATAGCTTCAATTATCAAAAACTAGTTAGGCAAACAAAATCTCAAAACATAAATCTATTGCCCTCTTCCTTTCTCTCTTTTTTCTCTAACTCTTTTTATTAGTGTATACCTTTTTTTTTTTGGTCGCCTCGCTTTCTTCTCTATCTTTTTTTCGTTAAATAAATAAATAAAAATAGAAGGCTTGAATCCTCCTCTTTTTATCACCTTTGCTCCACTTTTTTTAGCCATTGGAGAGGTTTTAGATCATTTTATACTTCATCGTCAAAACAAAATTAGACGCTCTCCTCCCTAATTATTTTTTTCCTTAGCTTGTTGTCCTTTTTTTTATTATTATTATTATATGAGTTTCGACCTTTAGGTGAGAATTTTAGGAACTAAGGACATTAGCTATTTTTTTTTTTTTTATGTGGAGAGGGAGTATATCGATAGATGGCCAACTCGTTATGAGGACAAAAGCAAAAAAAAAAAGGTAAAAAAAAAGAAATAAAGAAAGAAATAAAAGAAGTTGAAAAGCAAGCCGACCAAAAAAGACGAGTGAAAATTGCATTCATTGTCTTCAAATCGACATCGTTTTATTATCAATGATTTAAGTTGGTCCCCGACTTTTAATATTGTTTCAAATTTGTCCTCATTATTCTAAATTATTTCAAATTGTACTCTTACACACCTTGATTTTGCTTTTTATTTTTCCCTACAATTTCAATCTCTCATTCTTCCCAAGTTTAGTCAATTATGCTCCTAATTGTTCCTATATTATTAATCCAAAAATAATGCCACTTTTCCTTTCAATTTTTTTTTAATTTATCCGTATTTCTCTTTTTTACGTGTTTATAGCAAAAATGATAAAAGAAAACATGAATTAAGACATTAATAAAAACAAACCTTATTAAAATAAATTTATAGAAAATCTAAACTATGTAATAAATCAAGAAATTTATGAAAGGCATCTAAAATTATTATAGAGGGTCAAAATAAGATATGGCATCCATAATAAATTATAGCATAATTTTTATTAGGATGATACTTGCATTTATTTTATTATAAACATATAGATAATTAATACTATTAACATTAGACATTTTCTCTTGTTACATATTATTCGTGATATGACATATATAAATAATCTAATTTTTATTGGATTTTTAAATCAAAATAAATAAAAATAAAAAATTTATATTAAATTAATGGGACATTTGAAATTTCAATTATTATTATTAATTTCTTTTATTAATTTAGCAACTAAAAATCCCACAATAGATTAATATTATTTATGATCATTTTAATTCAAATAATAGAACCATAAATTAAGTTGTTGTTCATCACCAAAGTTCATTGCGAAATAATTTAATTGGCGCAATATACATAGCATAACAATCAAAATTTAATGTAGTGCAACACAACACAACACAACACATCAAATGCTAAACAAGCTCCAAGCTAGAGAAGATCTATTATTTTTATTGGCATAACCTTTCAATTTTTTTATGCTTTAATTATCCTTATACTTTCATATAGATTGATGGAAAAAGTAGTTTAAGTATACTTTAGTATTTGTAATTGTATATAAAAAAGTATTCTTATACCTCAAGGTGTCGTTTGGTTACTAGAAATAAAATGTCCAGAATGAGAATGCGGGAACTCGAATAAAAATTAGGGAATCGAAATGACATTTGTATTCTCATGTTGTGTTTGGAATACTAATGAGAAATTCGAATGCAATTTAATTTTTTTAATATCTAATTTTTTATACAAATAAAAATAATAATTAAAAAAATAATTTTAACAAACTATAATAGTTATAAAAATAATAAAAGTGATGGTGGTGGTTGTGGTGGTGATAGTAGTGGTAATAGTGGCGGTGGTTTTGGTGGTGGTGGTGGTAAAAGTAGTTAATTGGACAATAAATAAATAAAATACATTAGTATTTTTTTAAAAAAACTTCATTCCTATTCATTGTTTTCATTCCCACATTTTAAATGAGAATGAAGTTGTGTTTAATTTTAATTCTCATTCTCACTTTTCATTCTCATTCTCACTCCATTCGTTTCAATCAAACGGTTATAGCATGAGAATAAAACTTTCATTTTCATTTCCACTACTCTATTTTTTATTACCAAACTACACCTAAAAGTTAATCACTTTGTTGGGTTTTTAACACTATGATTAAAAACAAAACAATAACGTGACCCATCATTTATATTATTTACCATTAGTTACATTCAATATTATGATTATAAATATTTTCTTAATTTCAAAGAAATTATCTATTTTTCTATTTATATCTATTCTTAAGTGCATGTCTAATTAAAAATTTAAGTAATATATTTTTCTTAAATACTCATAAGTATAGCTTGTTTTGTAAAATACTGTTCAAATACAATTCTAAAAGAATTTTGTTTTCAAATATAAATACAAAATATTGGTATGTCATAATAATTAATATTTTTTTATTTTATGTAAAAAATAAGAACAATAAACTCCTTGGTACAAAGTGAGTAATTCAAATTCGACAATCACCCGAACTTACCCCCGCACCCTCACCGCGGAGCCCTTGGACTAGTTTGAACTTCATTGGTGGCTTCATTGAGTTGGGAATTGTGAATGGAGGGATGACATCAGCATGTGGGATTTCCTACAATAGGGCCGAATAGTAACATGAAGTGGCCCAAAATATGATTGGGCCTGAAAGATAATTCAGGATTTGTGCTCCACGGCTAAAGCTCATGCTTTCTTGTAGAGCCTGGAATCCTGGAGAGGGTTCCCGAATCATACTGAGTCAGGAGCCAGTTCTCTTTTTATATCTGTCTTTGTATTTCTATTCTATACATATATATACATATCTCTTTGTTATTGTCTTTTGCAACTGCATCAAGCATCATTTTTATTTTTTTGAAAAAGCGAGAACAGTATTTAGGGTTTAGAAGAAGCATGGCAAAAGACGGACCCAACTGGGACGGATTGCTCAAGTGGAGCCTTGCCCATTCTGATGGGACGCCTTCAAATCGCAATCTCAGGTAAATATGAATTGATGCTGATGAGAAGTAGTTGTAGTATATAAATTGATTTGCAAAATGAATTGAATTTGTTGGATGATGATAGTGAGGAAGATAGAAAATGGTTTATGGAAGCAATGCAATCACAAAGTGTTGATGTGATAAAGAGGATGAAGGAGATAACTCTTGTGATGCAAACCCCAGAACAAGTGTTGGAGTCTCAAGGAGTTTCTCCTGCTGATATCGAAGGTGAGAGCCGTTTACTCATAACTCATTTATCCATTCCTTTCTTGAGTTTTAATTTAACGATCAGAATTCGTGTATTTACTTGTCTACTCACCTTGCTTCCTTGGTTTGCGCTTTTTCAGATTTGTTGGATGAGCTACAAGAACATGTTGAGACCATTGACATGGCCAATGGTAAGTTTTCTCGATTGTATCCTGCCAATCTGCCTTCTTGTCTACCATATTTTCTGATTTCTCAGATGACACAATCTCTTATTTTGCTGTGCTTTGTATATTTCGAAAGACTGGGTTCGCTATAGTTTGTTCAAATAGATGCTTTATGTCCCTTCTTCAGCGAGCCCTGTAAGCTGTAGTCGATGTTGTTCTCTATCAATATCTATTTGTTGATGATTACGCTCTAAAATGTGATTGCATCTTTCCTTGGCTCTGTTACTTATCAATATGCAATAAATCAGTTCATTTTGATTCTCGTACAAGTAGAGTTTCCCTTATCTGTTTGATATATGCATATGTGGCAGATCTTCACTCCATCGGAGGTTTGGTCCCTCTTCTTGGTTATCTGAAGAACACCCATGCTAATGTTCGAGCAAAGGCTGCCGAAGTTGTAACCACCATTGTCCAGAACAACCCTAGGAGTCAGCAGCTGGTTATGGAAGCAAAGGGTTTTGAGCCTCTGCTTTCTAATTTCACCTCGGATCCAGATGTGACTGTTAGAACCAAAGCACTAGGTGCAATATCATGTAAGTACTGTTTTTTGGTTGGATTTGTTGATCTTGATTATTACAGCTCGCCATCTTGGTTTGTATTTTGCAACATTCCTGGGTTTAGAAGGTTCTTAATGCCAGATTCAATGTTGGTCATTCTCAGCTTTAATCCGACATAACAAGCCAGGTGTAGCTGCATTTCGTTTAGCAAATGGTTTTGCAGCTTTAAGAGATGCCCTGGGTTCTGGGAATGTGAGATTTCAAAGGTATTTAGACTCTAACTCTGTTACACTGCAATTTATCTTTTTCGTTGACCACTGTTGAATTGTTTGCGACCAATTTAGTATAAACAGTAGAAGAATCAAATCTTTAGTTCAGCTGAGAGAAATGCAAGTTTGTTTTTTGCCAGTACTTGATTTAGTTCTCTATTTTTAGTTTTCTTATAAACTTAATTTTCAGAAAAGCATTGAACTTGCTCCATTACCTACTGCAAGAGAATAGTTCAGACTGCAGCATAGTCAGTGAGCTGGGTTTCCCTCGCATAATTTTGCACCTTGCCTCAAGTGAAGATGCAGAAGTACGAGAAGCTGCTCTCCGTGACCTTCTTGAACTGGCTCGAAACAAATCAGACGGGAACACTGGTAGATCAGGTGAAGACGATGAAAAATTGAAGCAACTTCTTGAAGAACGGATTAATGGTTTAAGCCTGATGTCGTCTGAAGATCTCAGGGCAGCTAGGGAGGAAAGTCAGCTTGTAGACTCCCTCTGGCATGCTTGCTACAATGAGCGGTCAGCCCTACATGATAAGGGGATTCTTGTTCTCCCAGGAGAAGATTCACCACCTCCTGATGTTGCTACCAAGCATTTTGAACCTCCTCTTAGAGCTTGGGCTGCTAGACCTGATGCTGACAAAAATCCCGGTACTAAAAAGAAACAAGCCCCCTTGTTATTAGGATTGGGCCCTGCACCAGAGGCTGCAAATGTCCAAGGAAACTCAAGTGGTGAAGTCAATGGCGATGAGCAGAACACCTCTACATAATGCTCGGACAGTTTCCTAGGTTTGTCAAGGTGATCTATAGATTTTGGAGTAATTTGTCGCATGATCTTTTCCTTAAATATTGTTTTCCACTTATATGACTCTATTTTCTCAGTGGAATTTTTTGTGCCCTTTGGTGAAGTGGAATGGATCATATATTTATATTAGGTACTCTAATTATCCTTAGTATACATTTGAAGTAAAATTTGTGGGCCTGAAGTCTTGTCATGTCCTGACTCCTCTCGGTGTATGTAAATGTATAAAGGCTAGTGGCCTCTTGTGCAGTTGGCCAGTGGCCTATCTTTTGAATGTGATAATGGAATATGGAGGGTGACTGTTCCATAGAATACGAGTGTGAATTAAAGATTTGTCCATGTTTCTTACGTGTGTTTTGAGTGTGTGGATTCCTCAACTAATGTGGGAATTTTGTTTCCGAACTTGATTCTTTGGATTGTTGTTGTTGTTTGGATGTCTATCTCATTTGTTCCGTGATGCTCCTGGTCGATCATCTAACTCATGTAACATCTTCGAAGCACGACGTTGGGTGGAGAACTATTATATGCTTTATGAATTGTTAGTTAACATTTGTATTGTAATATTGCACTCTTGAGGAGATGATTGTGCACACAGATTGGCATGGTTCTTACATGGCCTACTGTCTATCTAATTCTACAATCCATTTCTTCATCTAGGTCTGCTAGGAACATGAGAAAAAGGGGTGGAAATCCAGAGGGCCATCTCATCTTAGCCCACTGAAAAGACAGCTTACCAATGCAAGTCGATAATCATGGTGTATGGAAAACAGCTACTCTGAAGAATGAATTGGACTAGATCTTAAAAGTAGTCGGTTTCTTTTATAGGATCTGTCTAGATCTTAAAAGTACTGGGTTTCTTTTAAAAGCATATGTTTTGATTAGTTGTTATTACTGTATCTTTGACAATGGCAAATTATATGTGGCTGCTATGGGGGTTAGAGATGTACACAAAGCTCACATCTTTCAAGATGACTAATGAGCAATAGGTGATGGGGAAAATGTAGTTTTTAATTTTCAGTGTTACGATTCTGGCTCCTAGGAATCACTCCTAGGGACCATCAGCTCTCTTTCTTCTAAGGGCTGCTGATGCTCGATCAAGAGAAGGAAGCTCAAATGAACATCCACCAAAACAGCATCTTAAGCCGAAGCACTTCAGTCACGAATCAATCTCTAAATCAATTCCAACCAATAATAATCACTTTCTAAACACAAACCAAGTCTCGAAATATTAGTCTCAAAAAAGAAATCCAAGTCTCAATCAACAATTTCACACAAGAAAACAAAAAAAAAAAAAAGAAAAGAAAAGAAAAGAAAAACAATTCAAATAATCTCGAAATTTCAGCTGCAACAAGTTGAAACGTTGAAACTCTAGAATATACTTGTACAGTTATTTACACAAGCTAGTTAACATCGTCAACATCAAGACGAAGAGGTGGTCAAAATTTCAGGCCCATCTGATCTTCTTTAAGTCCCTTTGATATCAAGTGGTAATTTTGTCATAGATTAGAATCATCTAGAATTCCAGCAACGTTTAACAGTTAGAAAACCCAATTAAATATTTTAATTTTTTTTATAATTTTTTTTTTGGGGTCTAACCAAACCCTAAATAAAAGATTGTAAAAATTCCAAATCAAATAAAAATCTCTATCCTTGGTTATTATTATTATTATTAGTTTTGAGATTGAAACTATTTAGTCTTATAATTTTAGTCAATTTTCAATTTAATAATCAAACAATAAAACTGCAAGCCTTAACATCTTACTCATTGGAAGAATCCGCTATCCAAAGAAGATTTAAAAAATACTTATGAGATGCATTTGTCAAAAATCAACCTGATGCAATTGTTGATCCGGAGCTTAGTATGGTTGATCACTATAAAAATATGTTTTATATGTCTTAGCCAATCAAAGCAAAGAAAATATGCAAAGAAATTGTGGGAAAAAATATATGGTTTTTCATTCAAAAGTTTTATCAAAGTTCTTCAAAGAGAAACACAGTGTATTTAAACTCATTCTTCTAAATCCTAAAAGATGCGGCTAGGGTTGAGTTTCCTATCTTATGCTAGATTTCTCTCATTTCTCTCATTTCCTATTGTACTTATGCAATCTATATTTAATAAGAACTTAATTAAGTCAACCCATTTAAATATCAATTAACATATTATATGGACTCATAATTAAATAAGAACTTCTAAATAAATAGGATTCATAACACACAAGGATCTAATCACCTCTTTAGGCTATACATTCGATCATGTCCTAAAATAAATAGGAAATTCAAAACCAACCAGGACTAATTAATTAGCTAAAGTTCACACAAATGAATAAATCCAAAATTTTAAAATCCAACCCAAACAAATAAAAGATCAACAAAATAAGATAGGATAAGAAACTTTCGATCACATTAGTGAGAAAAATTTTGGCCAAGTTAAGAAGGATGCTCTTGCATCATACTCCTCGAATTGAAGTAGACTTGACCCGATGTCCTGGTCTTCATCTTCCTCTCCAAAGTATGGCTTCAATCCCAAAGGATTCTTTGGTTTTAACTTGGCATACGACTGTTAGCAAATATGTCCTTTCTTTCCACGATCATATGGGTGCCCATTCAAGATGAGCTAACCCAAACAAGTCAGCCCATTCTTCTTTAAAATAACGTTGAAAGTGGTTGGGCCTCTTTTAGCAACATGCTGAAATTGAACCCTAGAAGAACTCCTCTTTTTGACATGTCGAATGTCCTCTCCCGCATTCTCTTTCTTTCTGAACAGCTTCCTCCAACTTTCCTCTTGATCACGCATCTTTATTACTGATTTTATTTATTTATTTTTATTTTTTTATGTCTACTACATCTTCAACTATAACATGGCTCTAAGCATCTTTAATTAATTGTCCCTCATAAACAAAGCTGTTGTGGAGTTCTCCCCTCTGCAGTTTGTGTCGAGCAACATTAGTCACTAGCGGCTTGAAAATAATAGATCTCCTTTGCCTATAATAGCTTTGACATATTGAATCAGTCCTTTTCTTATTGCATCTTATACATCAAATTCCTAGTCATCTACTGCAGCAATCTCTCCACTTAAATAGTCGTACAACTTCGCATCAATATGACCCATCAATGGTTCCTCTTTGCATAGCTTCATGACAGTAACAATTTCTAAAATAAGATCAACATCTTGTTGTCTAATCTCTGCATGCTTATCGCTCAAACACCATTTATAGACATCACAAATCTGGTGAGGTTTCATCATCCATAAACAAGACATGACATCCACCCCAAACCTATCAAGTAACACATTAGCATCACCATTAGGTTGTTCTTAAAAAGAAGAAACAATACTGTCAGTCAAGGACTCTCCCTTCGTAAATTTAATTTCAGCTGTCCTCTTGCTCAATTCATCCTTTGATCATCCATTCTCTATTATAGCAGAACTGTAGGACTTTAATCATAAAGATAAAACAGAAGTAATAAAATGCTTTTTAACTACTAAAAACAAAAGCAAAAGAACACAAGAATAGGCTGTAAATCTAATTTAATTTATTGAAACAAACAACTATTTAAATACTTTAACAAATGACAGAACTTGAAAGAAATCTGCTACACACTAAATCACTAACCAGCAAATCCTCCTAAGCTACTGCAACTAACCAACATGTACTCCTAACTTATAATTAACGTGTAGCCAAAAAAAAAAAAAAAAAGAACAAGTATAACATAAAAATAAGACTCAGTTAAAAACATGAGTAGCCTTGACTCTGTCCGTGCCTACAACCATGATTGTTTGCCATCTCATCAGCTTCTGCACAGCAGTAGCTACTATTGCACATCTGTAACACTCCTTCTTGCCTTAGTAGCTGCAAACTCTAAGCTTCTCTCTTAGAAACACAAATCTGCTACCAGGGAGTGCTTTTGTAGAAATATCAATAAGCTGATTTTTCAGTCTTGCAATACAGTAAGCATACTTCACCATTCTTTTATACCTCCCTTAAGAAATACAACCTAATATTAAAATGCTTTTTCCTCCCATTGAAGATAGGATTTTTGGAGATTACAATGGCTACCTTATTATCAACAAACACTTTTATGCTCTCTTTCTGCTCCACTTATAGACCAATCAAGACCTTCTTAAGCCATAAAGCTTGATTCACCGCTGTTATGACAACAATGAATTATACCTCAACTGTTGATTGAGCCACAATCTCTTACTTCTTAGAATTCCATAAGAACACACCAGAGCCAAAAGTGAAATAGTACCCTAAAGTACTCTTCATGCCATCTAAGGACCCTGCCAATCACTGTCAGAATATACATGAAACTAAAAATTTTGGTTGTAACAAAACAAAACTCCATAATCAATAGTCCATTTGACATATCTAAGAACACGTTTGGCTGATTTGAAATACACTTCACTAGCATAGTGCATGAACCTGGATAACACACTTACAACATGTAGGATATCATGCTTAGTTCCTGTAAGGTATATTATACATCCAATGAGGCTTCTGTAAACAGCCTCTTCCACTTTTTCTGCATCATCTTCTTTGTTGAGCTTTTCTTTTTGGTTCCTAGAAGTGCTTATTATTTTGCAATCCTCCATCTGAAATTTCTTTAGAATTTTCTTAAGCATATTTCGTCTGATAGATAAACACACCATATTGGTTCTGTTTAATCTTCATGCCAAGAAAGTATGTTATTTTACCCAAGTCTATCATTTTAAAGACTCTAATCATTAATTCTATTGTACTAAGCCTTTGGAGCCTATTTTAAGTCATATAGAGTGTTCTTGAGCATATAAACTTGTCTTGTTGGCCTTTCACTACAAAACCTTCAAGCTGCTCAACATAAATCTATCCTGTAGATTACCAATAAGAAAAGCTGATTTGACATCAAGTTTAAACACCTTTCATCCATACTGAGCACCCAATGCTAGCAGCATTCCGATGGTGTCCAGTCGTGTAACATGAGAAAATGTATTCGAGAAATCAACACCAAAAACTTGAGCAAAACCTTTCACCACAAGTCTGGCTTTTTGCTTGTTGATGGAGCCATCAGCATTCAGTTTTGTTTTGAACGCTCATTTGACACCAATGATTTTTCTATTCCCAAACCTTTTAACAAGCTCCCAAGATTTGTTTATCTTAATCATATTTAGCTCCTCCTTCATTACAGCTATCCATTTTAGATCCTTCTCAGCTTCCTCTTATCCCACGAGCTTAAAAATAGCTACATTGCATCTATGATAAATATCAAAAAGTAGTCTAGTACCTCTAACAAGTGGCTCATCAACCTCCTCTTCATGATTCAATGGAAAACCAATATTTTGATTTCCCTATTCGATTGCTCAGCTCTATTTTTTATCCTCAACAAATTTAACATCTTTACATATCAGGATCTTCCTAGTTTGAGGTTGAAAGATCCTATAAGCCTTAGAGACATTGTTGTAACCAATAAAGATGCTAGGTTTTGTCCTTTTATCCAGCTTATCCATCTTCACTTGGGGAACATGTGAGCAACAAATGCAACCAAAAATTTTAAGGTTTGATAAAGATGGTTTGTATCCATACCAAGCATCAAATGGAGTATTCCCTTCGAAAGACTTAATAGGAAACCTATTTAGCAAAAAGAATAACAATATTTGCTGCTTCTGCCTAGAACCTCTTTGATAAGCCTTTTTCATGTAACATAAACTTGACCATCTCTATTATGGTTCTATTTTTTTCTCTTAGTCACTCCATTCTGTTGTGGAGCTTAAGGGGTAGTAAGTTGATGCTCAATTTTAGATTTCTTAAAAAATAGACTAACCATTCTAAAGTGTACACCTTCCCATTATCTGATCTTAAGACTTAGATTCTATAGCTACTTTAGTTCTCAATCCATGCCTTAAACCCGCAAAACACACCTACAACCTTTGACCCGAACCTTAGGAAATAAATCCAGCACATTTTTATTAGATCATCAATGAAAGCAATATAATATTTACTTCGTTTAGTGATGGTGTTCATAGAGGTCCACAAAGATCGATATGAATCAACTATAACTTCGTGATGCTTTCTAGATTGTCCGTGAAAATGGAAACCTTGTTTGCTTACCATACCGACATGCCCTACAACTTGGTAAATGCTCTTTCGATGGAGGTAAGCCTTGCACCAACTCCTTCCTTTGGATATTCGGAACTACGAGCATGGTGAAAGTGACCTAATCTCTCGTGCCAAGTCTCAACATTATTTTTCAATAGTAGGATATATTGCTTGTTCCTTCTCCATTGGATTCGAGAGAAGCTCTTATCTCTCATTTCAATTCTAAACACTTCTTAATCACTTGCATCTTTGATCGGATAAAGCTTATCTTTCAAAATTACTTTGAGACCCTTCTCAAGCAATTATCCCATACTTAGTACATTTTGATCAATTTCAAGTATAAATAAAACATAAAAAATTAACTTTGTACTCGTATAATTTTTAATAGCTACAGTTCTCTTTCCTTTGACTATAATGTGCTTACCATTACCAATTCCGATCTTAACAACTCGACTTATAAATGTTTTTGAAGAGTTCTTGATTATAGGTTATATAATTAGTGTACCCACTATTTATGAGCCAATTCTCACTTGAACCGTCGCTAGAAAAATAAAAAGCTATAAATAACTACTCTTCCTCCTCTAACTCCGTTCGTAACTTGAGCTTCATTTTACTATCGAAGGTTACTCTTGTAGATGTTTTCATGATGCCTTATTTTATTACATTTACTACACTTCACATTTGGCTTTCTCCAGCATTTGAAAGGAGAACGACCTTTCTTGTTACAATGTTGACATTGAGGATAATTATTATTGCCATAACTATTACTATAACATAAGTCCTATTTACTTTTTTTCATTTTTTATATATTTTTATTTCCTTTATTGTTTTGATTGATTTGGAGCTTAGCTTACAAAGCTCTTTCTACTAAGCTTTCTTACCTTATTAGCCTTATTTGCTCTTAAGATTGGAATGAATTTAATAATTTTGCCAAAGTGATACTTGATAGGTCTTTAAAATTCTATAATGAGGAAATTATTGCTTTAAATTTTTTAAAGATCGTAATAAGAACTTTCTAAACAATTCTAGAGAGAGAAAATTTAATACCGAGCAATCTTACCCTATTGACAATGCTCAAAAGTTTATCGGACTACTCCTTTATTCTTTGTATCTCAAACTCTCTAATCAAGTTTAGCATTTGCATCCTTCTAATTCTCTCATCACCTTCATATTCTTTCTTGAGAAAATCTTAGATGATATTTACCGATTTTAAAGTCATGATCCTAATAAAGATTATTGGTGAGACAACTAGAAACGTGCATGCTTTTGCCTTTGACTTCTTTTGCTTCTTTTCTTTGTTATTCCCGATTGGAGAAAATGTTGGATTGTTAGGCAATGGAGGAACTTCGTACTCCCCTTCAATAGCCTTTTAAAGATCACTAGCACCTATGTAGGCCTCCATGCTCACTATCCAAACCTAATAATTTTCACCATAGAAAACAAGTGGAGCTTCTACTATGATTGGTGATTTTGAGTCCATTTGTTGATTGATTTTAATAAGATGTTTATTTTATTTTATTTTTTTATGAAAGGTTCATAAGTCTTTTAAAAAGATAACTTTGATACTAATTATAAGACCTTAATCACAAAGATAAAATAGAAGCAATAAAATGCTTAAACTATAAAAAACGAAGCAAAAGAACATAAGAATAGGCTATAAATCTAATTTACTTTATTGAACTAAACAACTATTTAAATGCTTTAAAAAATAACAAAAATTGAGAGAAATATGTTGCACACTAAGCCACTAACTAGTAGATCCTCCTAAGTTACTCGTAACTAACCAATATGTATTCCTAACTTGCTACAAGTGGCAACATGACAAAAAAAAAAAATAGAACAAGTATAATAGAAAAATAAGATTCAATTAAAAACATGTAGAACCTTGACTCTATCCATGACTACAACCACGATTGCTTGCCATCTCGGTAGCTTCTACACGATCAATAGTCGTTATGGCACATCCGTAACTGAGAACCAAAAGAATTCTTATCGCTCTCTTTCTTGTAGTAACGATCTACACATTGTGTTTTTAATGCTTAATAGTTGTTCTCTCTTGTTGAACTTTGTCTCTTTCTTTTAGGAAACCTAAAAATGTTTACTTAACATTCAAGTCCATGATTTTTTTTGTTTCCCCCAAAGTGTTATCTCAAGTGCTATTTCAATACTATCAATACATTCTATAGACAAACATTCATTCCATCATGCAAAAATCATCCGAGACTCAAAATGAGAAGAACTAAGACTTTTTGGCCTATTATAACTTGCTTCATGATGACAGAACACAACTTTGTTTTCAATAATGCCCTCTTGTTGCTAGGTAGTGTAGTGGTGTCATTGTATTCTTCAAACAAGCTTACCTTTCTTTTGAAATTCACATTATGTTCTCCTTGCTTCACAAAATTATAAAGATCCGTATTGAGAATTCTCCCAAAAGTTTCCCTTGGTTATAAAATGTTTCCTTACTCATCCAACTCGTAAATCCCCTCTCTAATAAAACTTCAAACTTTTGCAGATCATTCTCATGATGTTTATTTGCATTACATCAACAAAATTTATTACTAAATTTTCTTCCCTTGATATCTCGTTACTTGTAGTGATCAAGTTTTGAGAATCACCTTATTCTATGGTGAATTCAAAACTGGTTACAAAGACATTATTGTTGATAACTAACATCTTGTCTTCATTTACAAGAACAAGTCCCTCTTACATATGAATATCAACTTTGTGTGGTGAAGTTTTGAACAATTATATAGTAACCCTATGTTCCTCCAAGTCGACTTCATGTATACTATGACATTATCCTTGGTTAACTTTTTACGGCCACAACATCTTTGAGTTTGTTGTTGAAAATTGTAGTGCCTATGATATCGTCAATGTCGACTCCTTCATTAACCTTCTTGTTGGTATTTGAAGTGTCTTCAACACCCAAAGAATATGGTACTTTATCATTTTTTTTAACACCAATAAGGTTAGATTTTCTAACCTCTTCCTCGACATCATCATCTTCTTTCAATACCTTAAGGAACATTGACTCCCAAACTAACTCCTCTTGGTTAGTTTCCTTATCGGATGAAAGCTCTCTCTTTATTAGCATCAAAGTAATCTTCTCTCCTTCAAAATCAAATTAGTATGTGTTCTTTAACCCATCATGTTTGACTCATCTTTTTTATTGCCATAGTCTTTCCAACAAAACATGACATGTCTCCATACGGATTATGTCACACCATACTTATTCTCGATACTTCTTCCCTATCAAAAAGTTGACTAGGCATCTTTTGGTCACCTTAATATAACATAATCGTTATTCTACCAAGCTGCCTTGAAAGGTTTCGAATGATCAATAATGGTGATTTTAACTTTTCCATCATTGTTGTCGATACCAAATTCTTTCATGTCCTTCCATCAATGATCATGTTACACACCTTATCATAAGATGTGCATCGAGTATGAAATACATCATACCTTAACCATTCCTCCTCATGATCATCAACCTTACCCAATCCTTTTTTTTCTTTCATCTTTAAAATTGGCCAAATACGCAAAGGAAGCAAACCTTAGCTCGATATCAAATTAATGTCGAATCGAGAAACATAGAACTCCACAAAAGCTCAAATACACATCCACCAAAAGAATATCCCTAAGATGAAACACTCTAACCATAAAATCAACCTCTAAATTAACCTTAAACAATCCCAATCACTTTCCAAACACAAACTAATTCACAATAAAATAAACCCTAGTCTCAATCAACAAATTCACACAAACAAACACAACTAATTCAAACAATCTTGAAATTCTAACGAACCCGAAACCTTGCAATAGGTTGAAAAATAAGAAATATTTTTCCAAATATTCTAAAATTTTTACAAAACCTAGTTAACACCAAGATAACCCGAGTTCCATCCGACCCTCTTAGGTCCTTTTAATATCAATTCATAATTCTATCACACATTAGAATCACTCATAATTTTAGTAATGTTCAACAATCCGAAAACCCAATTAGATATTTTTGTTGTTTTATAATTTTTTTTAATAGCGATTTAATCAAAATCTAAATAAAATATTGTAAAAATTTCAGATTAAACAAAAATCCCTAGCCTTGGTTATCATTTTTGAGATCGAAACTATTAAGTCTTGGAATTTCGGCCAATCTTCAATTCAACAATTGATCAAACAATAAAATTGCAAGCCTCAATGTCTATCCCTCGAGAAGAATCCACCACCTAATGAAAATTTAAAGAGTATTTACATGATACATTTGCCAAGAGTCCACTCGACGCAATTGTTGATCTAGAGCCCGCCTTAGTCAATCACTTTAAATGTGTTTTATGGTATCCTAGCCAATTCAAGTAAAGAAAATATGTAAAGAAGTTGATGAGAAAATCTCTAATTTTTTGCTTCAAAAGTTGTATCAAAGTCCTCCAAAGAGAAGCACAAAATGTGCTTAAATTCTTACCCCTAATCCTTAAAAGATGCGGCTAGGATTGAGCTTCCTCCCCTAGGTTGGATTTCTCTCATTCCGTAATAATCTTGGACTCATGGAATCCATATTTAACTAGGACTTAATTAACTTAGCTCATTTAAATATGGATCCACATATTACATGGACCAATAATTAAATAAGGACTTTTAAATAAATAAAGATCCATAACACGAAGGATCCAATCACCTACCGAGGCCACACATTCGACCATGTCCTAAAATAAATAGGAAATCTAAAACCAAATGAGGATTAGTTAATTAGCCCAAGTCCACAAGAATAAAATAAACTCAAATAATTAAAATCCAACTTAAATAAATAAAAGATCAACAAAATAAGATAGGATAAGTAATTGAAAGTTTCGGCCATAATAGTGAGGAAACTTTTAGCCAAGTTAAGAGGGATGCTTTTGCATCGTTTGCCTTCGTTTATTTAGGTTGCTCGTTATAGAGTTAGATAATTGAGATTGAATTTCATCCAAAAGACTTTTGTGGTGGGTGACCCCGTCTTAACTCTATATATTAATAATTTTTTGTTTAACTATTCAATATATGTTCTCTAATATTCCCTTTCACTTACGATCTATCTTTTGGGATATGATAGTTGAGATTGAGTTCCATCCAAAAGCCTTAAGTCTTGTTATGAATTATCCATTCTTAACTTTATATATTAATTATTTTTTACTTAACTATTTAACATAGGATATACTCTTTAACAAGATCTAGAAACGAAGCTGTAGCAAGAGTTCATCTCAAGGAATGGATGTGTATTTAATGTAAAAATTCTAGCGCCCTGATTCACTTTCTTTTAAAATTCTGAAAACTATAGTAGCTAGTCTACATTTCAACACTTCCAATCTACGCAGAGACAAGTTTCTAAAAGTTTCAAGACGATCAAGTAGATGAGTTACGTACATCATGGTCCTATAATATGGAACAGCTCTTTTATATGTGTACATATACAGTAAAAATAAGACAGATTAACTAAGAAGAAAAAATAAAATGTAGAAACAACTTATATAAATTCATGATTAATCTCAAAATGCTGTGGAGAACAACAGTGTGTAGCTAACACCATTAACTTCCAGACAGCTAGCTATCATTAAATTTCCCTGTGCTGGCCCTTATTTAGGAGGACAGAACGTTATAACATACCGCGAAGCCCTGCATTTGTTAAGGCTGGAGGAGTCGTCAAAAGCATAACTATAGGCCTTTGGGCATACAGCCTTAAATAAATGGGCAAAAAGGGTTGGCTTGCAAGTCTTTGGGTTAGCATAGTCCCCTGTGCAGCAATACTTGGCCGATTGCATAGCCAAACAAGCACTTTTACACCCCACTATTTTGCCACCGCTCTTTACTTCTAGTGCAGATGGACAGCAGATGTTTAAATCTACTTCACACGATGCAACTCCACATCCAATTCCACCCCCAACTGGTGCCATTGAAACTGGCAAATTAAAGCCATCAACTAAACTAACATCGTAGAAATGCAAGGGTGAAGTAGATGATCCAAGAGTCATTTCGACCATGGTTGCTGGGGGAGCGCCACCAACGCCTTGGCAGCGAAGTAAGCCTGAACAATCCCCAGTTTCACATGAGCCTTTTCCATTACCGTCGAAGGAACATCCTTGCCGACCCCATATCCTCCCAGACCACTTATCCGGCACATCAATGACTACTTCCTCACCACTTCCAAGATGGAAACCGCCATCTTTGGGCGTTGAGTGACCTGCACCACCAAGTACTCCAGGCCATACGCTCTCATTGCAGTTGTTCACCAATATGAGTTGTTCCCCATCTGGAAACAAAAAGTGTTTCAAAAACAAAATTAGAAACACAAACTCTAAATTTACCATAAATTGAAGAAGTTGAAATATTAATTAATGAGCATATATAGCAATTACTTGTAGTGGAGAATAATGCAAACAAGCAGAGGAGAAGAGAAGGGAGAAGTGAAAAGGAAGGCAGTGACATTGTTTCAAATGAACGCAACAAAATGAAAGATCATTACTACGTAGGAGCTCCTTAAGTAACTAAAGCAGTTAATGTGGATAGAAGATACTGTGTAGCAATGGCTATGTGCCTAGTCGCACTAATATCCCTTTTCTTTTCACTTTCGCTTTCGCTTTCGCTTTCACTTTCAAGAAATAGGGTATATATGCATTTCTTCCTCTGGAGGTTTCTTTTCTCTATCACTATTTTTGCTTCCATCTCTCTCTCTCTCTCTCTCTCTCTCTCTCTCTAGGTTTAATGATAAAATTTCCTTCCATTCTATTGCAATTTGGCAATTCAAGTTCATAGTATTAAATTGTATAATTTGAACATCAAAATATTAGAGATTAAACAAATACACATATAAATATTTCATAAATATTTTAACCTCTTAATTTTGAGTTTTTTTTTTACAATTTTTTTATAAACTATTATTGTAAATAACATAATTAACAATACATAATTTCAGGGCTTAAAATTTTTTTTATAAATTAAAATGAGTATAATTAAGGATTAACCCTCCTAATTTTATAAATTATAAAAAATATTTCTTATAAAATGTTGATAATATTTTTAAAAAAGTTCAAAATTAGGTGTTAAAAAATATTTATAAAATATTTTTTATATAATTTATAAAATGTTTAGGAAAAAAAGTATAAAAATGTTCAAGATTAGAAGGAGGTTAAAAATATTTTTGAAAAAACATAATTAACAACGAAATATCAAAACCACGTCATTTTAGCATTTCAAATAATAGTTAATTGGATTGATCTGTTACACATGATGAAGATTGAACAAATTGAATTATAATTAACCAATCTCTAATATTTTAATATTTAAATGACATGATTTAGTATTATAAATTCAAAAATATCAAATCATAATAAAATAAGTGTAAAATTTATCATTATATATATAACCAATTAAATATATCTGGGCACAACTGGAGCCTCTCAGCTCGACCGACGTGAGACAGCCGGGGATGCATGTCAAGAAAGACTAGTTGATTAAGTTCACAAAAGTGAAAAACCTATATTCAATAAATTGCGATTAGCATCTTTCGCTTCATCATACTTTATTAAATGCGATCAAATTAAAGTACTTGCTGATCATATGATTTGAGAATAAAACCCACTTCTTTTGCGTTTTGTTACTATTTTGTAAGTCAAGTGGGCAGGGATTGTACTATTATAATGTCAGCTCAATGCTTGTGGCTTTAATTTAACAATGAATAATTAGGAGTAACATTCATCATTACGAAAGGAAAAAAGTTCCAATAAATTAACCCTGGAAAAACAATCATACGTCTCGCTTTGTTCTTCTTCAAGCACAAGTTCCTTCCTTTCACCTATCTAAAGCGCTTTCAAACAAGAATGGTATAAAACTACGAGGTTTGTGGTTGTTCTATATTTTTTATTTTTTCGGAACTATGCCTTGCTTGAAAATTACAAGTCGTTTAATTTCATACTTGCTTTACGCGATTTTTATTTACAAAGATAGTCAAAAAAATAAATTATTATTTGATTCTAAATTTTTATTAAAATAAAGGATTCCAACTAATTTTTAATCAAATAGATTTACGAACTAAAAGCGATGAGTTTTATTAGTTGATTTTGATCATCATCAATCATTATAGGTTGATTTTTTTTTCATTCTCTTTAATTATTAAATTCAGTTATTTTTATTTTTATTTTTAATATTTAATAAGTTAATCATACGTCGTCCAAATAATTATTAACCATTTTAATTATAAGTAATTTAAATTAATTTTTTAATGTTCACTTGTGAATCTATTTTCTATTTATTTTACTAAATTATTGCCAAAGATCCAAGTTTTTTTTGCTTGTGGAAAAGAGTCTTAAAGGCTATATTTAAAGCAAGTTTCATAGGTATATTTTAGATTTCCACAATGAGTACATCCTCCTCCTTCTTATTGAACCTTAGCCTCGGAGGCTATATTTAATCTCTCATAATCTTTGAGGGAAGACCTTGTTTTGGAGAGTGAGTGTTGGTATCCCGACTTAACTCCCCTAGAAGCCATAATAGCTTCGAGTTGTGGTCTTCGAGCATGTTATCATTACCGTTTGTCCGGTATCTTCTCGTCGGACATAAGCTTGTTCAATAGTAGGGAATGGTTTCATCTATAGTATATTGTTAGTTTAAGTGCTCAAGATCCAATCATATTTGGATGCGATAAATTATTATACTATTGCATTATTTATATTATTTATAATAAAAGAAGTCTTTTCATTAATTCTAATCATTTACATTTATTGATTTAATAGAATTAGATAGAAGTCTATATGATATACATTTGCATTAGTGATTGATCGAAAGATGTGAGACAAACACTAATGCACATAAATGATATGATTGAATGTCTCAAGTCGTAACATTGTCAAGAATGGACATTGACTATATGCAATTAGACTTGTAAGTGTTATGCTCATGCTATATAATAGGAGCAGAATATCTCACACATATTGGCATGATGATGCCAAAACAAGCACTTAAGTGATTTATACTAGAGAACATATCACAAGGCTTGACTCACCATAAGAACCCATTTGGTTTGGTCTATGAAAATCGTATACGAGATGAGTACAATCTGGTCCTTAGACTTGAAGTCATCATAGTTATCTCATTAGAGGATTGATGCACTTTGACACTCGTTTCGATGGATCCGATAAAGGGTTGTATGTGAACGATTCATTGAGTGAACTCATAAACTAATAGAGGTAGGAGAATGACTAAGATTGGACATGTCATTCCTTGTATGCTAAAGAAGTTATTACAGTACACTTCGATAAATGTCCGTTTAGAAAATTTTTGGCCATAGTAGAAGTACACCAATAAAGCATAGTTGATTTAATCTAAGAGTTAAGATATTTAGGAATCGAAGAAAACTTGTGTGATCACAATCAAACAAGAAGTATAACCAAGTTTGAGATCACATTGTGATAAGTTAACATGAAGATCGAATTATATAGTAAACATACTTATGAAAGGTTATAACGGATTAATCAATCCTCCTAGAGAATTGATAGTCATGATGTCTTGCTAGAGGCTAATCTTGATTAATATATCAAGAGATAAAAAAGGTGTCTTTTGTTTTTGATACATTGCCAACATATCTAGGAGCTTATTAAGTCATACACATAAGTTTAAGCATTCACATGATTAAATAAGAAGCAAATATATTGGAAAAAGTTTTCAATTTTGAAAGTTTCCTATTTTGAAAAGGTTTTCTTAAAATGTAAAGTTTCCTAAAATGAAAAGTTTTCTAAAATGGAAAGTTTTCTATTTTAGAAATCAGTTTCCTAATTTGGAAGTTAGTTTTAAATTTGGAAGTACATGACCTAAAATGAAAATTAGTTTCCTAATTTAGATTAAAGGGTATTTTGGAAAATTATTTCCTAATATGTGCCACCTAAAATTATCTAAGTTTATTTATTTGGATAGTTCAAATTAATTAATTAGGTCAAAATGATTTTAGGCTAATAGGTTTAATTAAAACCCGAAGATATTTTGGTGGGAGGATAAACATGAACCTTATTGGATAAGGATGAATGTTTTAAAGATAAAGATCAAAAGCCCACATGTAAAATAATTCTTAATCCTCGAAAGGATTAGGAAGCAACAACCAAAAGTCCTATTTAGGACAAGTTGTCATCCATCATTAACCTAGGAAGATAAGAAAACTCTCCCTCTATAAATAAGAAGAGAAAGATGCGGTAACTAAGGAAAATTTAAGAGAGAAAGCATTCGGCCAAATGAGAAAATTCTCTAGGGTACACGGAATAAAGAAAAAAAAAGAAAATTGTTTTCTCTTAAAGCCCTAATACATGCTACTTTTCTTCTTCCTTTAAGATTGTCGTAAAATTACCCGGATTAGTTTTTTATAGGAAATACTACATAAATCGGAAAAGATGGAGCTAGCACTCTATCAATTTTGAGTGCTTCTTTGTAGATACTTGAATTGCATGGATCAGCAATAGAGGCCAAACACTTAGACGACTCTTTTACGCTAAAGAATTTAGATCCGCACTATAAGAGGTAATCTTTTATTTATGCTTTAATTCATGCATGTATAGTTAGTAAATTCAACGACTTGATCTTGGACCCTTTCGAAAGAGAAATTTTTTTTTGTTTTATTCCGCACCTCCATAGGATGCATGATCTTCATACATCACTTTAGATATTGTCTAGTCACTCATTTAGACCATTAAGGAAAATGTATACTCTATCCTCTTGTATGATAGAGTTATATTTATGTATGTTAGTAGCATATTCTATCGGATTAGGACGACAAAAATCAATTTCTCTCCATAAGCCTCGGGAGATTGTTATAGTATTTTTCAATAGATCCTACAGACTTACCTCATTCTAGTCACTCATTTTTGTAGGTTATATAATTAGGATGTGTTAGTCCCATCAAAATATATGATGGTAATAAAGTCTATACTAGTTTTGCGAGTTAGAAAGCGAATGAAATTATTGATCAAGGATAGGTCCATTAAGTTGATCAGCATCCTAGTTTGTCTTTTCTTGAGATAAACATCTCTATAACCTAGGAGCATAAAGCATAGTTGGTGCCATCCAACTTGATGCCAATCTATACAGTGGAAAAATCATGACTTGGGTATGATTGATACCGATTTCTAGTTAAAGCTTCTATCATCTTATTGTAGAGTTCTTTAGGATGTAATCTATGTGGTTGTTGTCATGTTGCACCATGTCGGTAGGTTCCACCATGGTTTCTAATCTATTTTATGTCTTTTTCTTAATAAGGATATGGTTGTAGCAAGGGTTCTATGAACTATTGCTTTGATAACATGTAAAAAGGTTAATCTATTTCTTTTCTTTTCTTTTTAGTTGAGTACGAGTAATATATGCATACAAAGAGAAAACCTAAGAAAGCTAATAAAAGAAATACAATCTCTACACTTAATATTATAGTTATCCTAGAATGAAGGGATTTAGAGACAAACTACTCCTATAATTCTAGTTCCTAATAATAGCCCATGCCAACAATTCAAATAACCCATCAACCTTTAACATTTTTTTATTAAAGTGAGAGAGATTAGGGGTAAGCATTCGGTTAAACGGTTCGATTTGGTTTTTGGTTAACCGAATTAAAAAAATAAAAACCAAAACCGAACCGAAATAAATTCGATAAATTCGGTTTGTAACCGAATTATTTCGGTTTGGTTTCGAAATATTTCGGTTTTAACCAAAATATTTTACCGTAAAAAAAAATCATTACGAGAGAGATGTTTTGTATTAGCACTTAATCCACTAGCCAATGAAATAACATCTTGTTATCAATTAATCCTTTTTATAAACAATCACAAAGCCCTTGAAGATTTTAACTAAGCTTTAATGAAAACGAGTCCAAGTGTAATAAATTTGCTCATTCAAACACACCATATCCCAATTAATTACACTCTGTCACTTTCTTTTCTTACCCCAAAGGTCCTCAAAATTTACTTCCCATCTGCGTGTTTCGGTTTCAATAAGAATGAAGATTGAAAAGTTAGGGATTTAGAAATTAGGAAATTTTTTACTTTTTATTTCGGTTTTCGGTCGAAACCGAAATTTTTTTTCTAAAAACCGAACCAAACCGAAATAATTTTGGTTTTTTCGGTTCGGTTTTATATTGTATAATTTTATATTTAAAACCAAATCAAATTTCATAATTCGGTTCGGTTTTATTCGGTTTTTGGTTAACCGAACCGTTTGCTCACCCCTAAGAGAGATAAGCCAAAGTACTTTTTTTTTTGGTGGCTAAAAACAAATCAACATAATAATTATTATTATTTTTTATGGAGATGCTGATGGAGAAGGAACCAATAAGCTTGTAGAATAGATCTTCGAAGCTAAGTATGGATTTTAGATCCAAGTTATTTATTTATTTATTACTCATATACCCTAAGCTTTGGTAAAACTAATTTGTTACAATTTGAACTTGTGACCTCTTATTGTTAGAGACCACTATCAATGGACTATAAGCACTTTGGTAGATCCAAGTTATTAAACCATTTCCTTGCTACCGTCCGAAAGGTTGTGGGAAGCACCTTGCATATGGCCTTCATGCTCTGGAGCACCAACTCGAGAGTCCCTTTGATAGTTTGCATGGGTTACCATGTGTATGTACTATCGTATCTAGGTTCATTTTCTAGAGATGTACTTTATGTCAAGCCTAACTTTTAGTATACGAGGGGCAAGTGAAAAGACTTGGATTCTATAGATATAGTAATCCAGGTGTAACTAGAAGAAGGTCGTGGGTTTCTTGTTCATTCATGAACGTTTGGGCTCTAAACTTACCAATGATGTTTCTGAAAAGGAGCTGTTCTTGTGACGTCTCCTATGGTGGCTTCTAGCTAGTAGGGCTTTTCCTATTTTTTATACTCTCTTTTCCCCTATGAGAGCCTTGAATGATTGGCTCTTTGTTGTGATGGTGAGAGTAATTTTTTTGGGTTTTGTGGGAATGCTAGCATTCCTTTCTTACACCCCTCATTTCATCATGCCTTCCCACTTCCTCCTTGTTTAGGCATTGGTTATGCTTGTTTTGATGAAAGGAGGATGAAGGTCCTTCTGCGATAGGAGTAGCTAGTGGTGGAGCAAAGGTTTCTGTCAGAAAGATATATGGAGTCAATTGTGGCACTCACGACACTAACGGAGGAGTAAGCAGGACTTTTATTTGCTCTTGGGCAACTAAGAAGGCCTGTTATCATATTTTGGACATATTCGTGAAGTTGGAGAACATCCATTAGTTGGACGCTAAGAATGGAAAGGTCCAATGGAGTAGCATGTTAGCATGGAAAAAAACTTGTAGATTAAAAGGTGAGATAAGAATTGGCTTCTTACTCAACTTCTGTAGACGGAGTCACTAATTAGGTTGGAATCCTCGAAATAATATTTTTGATAAGGTGGCTTTCTTTATGGCTAAAAAAACAGTAATGTGCAGTAATGGACGATAATGGATGATTCATTCTCGTGTTGCCAATAACCTCTAACGTCAATTGGGGAGACTAAAGTCCTTGTTGACGATAAACCATTGTTTGACAATGTTTTTAATGTTATGGTTGGTGTCAATTGGATAAGGATAATCTCGAAAGCATGCTTTATCAGATAAATGAACTTTTTGTGCTGTTAATGAGTGAGGATATCTTTTGCCATCCAGTTGACTCTTTGGCCTAACATCACAATGTACATCTTGTTAAGACGATTGTTGAAATTTGGCTAGTTGTTAGTTTCTTCTAGGATGTAATTCCGGAATCCGGAGAACAAGTATTGACAAGTGTCAATCATATATATATATATATATATATATATATATATATATATATATATATAATCACAGTGTTGGTGTAGTTTTAATCTTCTAGCTCTCATTTTCGAGCATAAATTAATACAAGAACAATATTTCAGTTCACTTTTGGACAAGAGGAAGAAATTCAAATGGTCCTTATCAAGAATCTTACTTTGATATGAATTTCCCGTTTCATTACCCCTCTGTCATTTGTGAACTGGTTGATCGCTTTATTTGGTTGGTTTTAGGTTATTGACTTGATATTATAAGTTAGAAATCGTGCATATAGTAGACCTATGTAGGATAGATTAATTTCTTGTAGATCCGGATTACTCTGTAGCATTGTTCAATGGAAATCAAAACTTTCAGATTAATTATTTCAGATTTTTTTTTATGTCTGTGTTGGAGGGAGGGTGAATAGTGTGCCGATCTTGGACTTGATTTTTCTATTTTGTTTTTCAATAGGTTATGGTTTGATTTGTTGACTGAAGCCATCAGATATGACATCGCACAGCAATCAATCTGCTGAGGATTAAGGCTTGTCATTGTTGTTTATGCAAGTTTTCAAACTTCTGCAATGGATCCTGGTACCACATTATTGGATTTCAAAGAAGGCCGATAGAGCTGTTGAAAGCTCCACCATTGGACTCTAAAGATGCACTGCAGGGAAAATTTTTTGCAGATATTTTTCCCTTCACATTCAACCAGTTCAATGTCCTTTTTGTCATTTGGTTGGCAGATTATTGAAAGGTGGGCAGAGTGCATGGAGAAACAGCATGCTTATGAGGTCCTGATAAAGATGCTCAAATTGATAATTTATCTCTTGGAAAGGAAAAAAATCAATGTCGATTTGATGCATCACATCCCTGCTGTGGCTTGTAAGTTTGATGTCATGCAATTGCCTATAAGATATCTGCTGACTCTTATACAGTAGCCTTAATTCATTGGACAGTTCCTAGAAAATTAAATTCTGTTAACAATAGAATTACAGATTCTGCAAATGAATGTGAAGTATATCTCTGTTTTCCCCTAACAATAAAAAAATCAATGTCGATTTGATGCATCACATCCCTGCTGTGTCTTGTAAGTTTGATGTCATGCAATTGCCTATAAGATATCTGCTGACTCTTATACAATAGCCATAATTCATTGGACAGTTCCTAGAAAATTAAATTCTGTTAACAATAGAATTACAGATTCTGCAAATGAATGTGAAGTATCTCACTGTTTTCCCCTAACTCAAATGTACATAAATAAAGGATTTAAGAGAGATCTTCTCATCTTCCAGGTTTATTTTGCAGAAAGCTGATAATGCAGTGATGACAGATTCATGTCAAAGGTTGTTTTGTTTTTTGAAGGCATTCTTGATCACGGCAGAAATTTCGATTCTCATGGTCACACACACACACACACACATATATATGGATGGGGTCGAAAAAACAAAAAACAATCTAAACTCCATATTATAAATTGGTGGGGGAACGCAATTAAGAGTTGTAAACTACAGTGCCAATTATAAATGAATAGTTGGGGTGCTAAATTTGAGGTTTGCAATCTGAAATTTGTATTGATGTGACATCTCAAGCAGATGCATCAGTAAATTACTGGTATAAAAGACTCGGATTCAAATGAAAGTTACATATTACTGAGAAAACAATTCACGAACTACAAGAAAGTATTGAGTTTCAAAGCATATAGAGTTCATAGTTATGACTAAGTCGAGCAAAGTAACACGAGCTGCTATAGACTCGTCATCCAACAGCACCTGATCTATATATTGTTGTATTTTCAGAGAGGAAGATCAAGACCTTTCCCAACATCCACCCCAATCACTTGTAGGATTCCTTTGTTTATAATCTGAAAAGATTAATCACATTATAATACTCTTGGCAACTTGTTTATTTCTTTAACAGATAATTGAAATTAAAAGAAAGATAGAACAACACTCACCAATTCTACAATGAAAATTCCAACGAGGCCAATCATACAAGCTCTAGAATTCCATATTTCAGCCGTCCTAGTAAATCCAAGAAATGGGGCTTGGACTTTTGGCTCCACTTTTGGCAATTCCACCTGGAAAAAAAAATGACAAAAAGCAATCAATTCTATGCACAAGGAATTAAAATCGAAGAAACGAAAAGAACCTACAAAAAGCAAGAAAATGAAAAAGCAAAATAAAAAAGTAGACATACTCCAGGAGGAAGTTTTGCAGCTTGAACTCTAAAGACTGGCTTCTTGGACGTTCGGGCAATTTGACTACTATTGTTGAACAGGGAGACTTTCTCTTTATGAGGTTGAAGTGTTAGAGGTTTTGTTGGGAGGAGAAATGATGCTGAAATGAGAGATGAAATAGCCATTTTTTGTGTTTGCTCTTACAGTCATGACTCACTCCTTCGTTCCACCACTGCTTTATCTCCATCTTCATTTCCCGCAAGCAAAATCTTTTCATGTTTGCCTGGCCCACTTTTTTAAGTTTGTGGATGAGATGGAATGGGATGGATGACTGATGACCCTGGCTCTGATTTGCTTGTCACACAAAGGGCGAAAATCAACCGGTCCTGTTGTACTATTAATTTTGAAGCTAAATAGGTTTGTGCCCCTGAATTTTTATTTATTTAAAAATTAATTTTAAAATTTTAAAATTTAGGTTTTTTTTTTCTAAACTTTTATTATTATTATTATTGAAATCTAATCTATCCATTAATTTTAAGTCATATGCTTAATTGACAGAAATCAAAACTCAGAAATAAATCAAATTCAATACACAACATCAAAATTTTCTCTTTTCTTTCTCAATTCACTAAAAAAAAAAAAAAAAAAAACAACCATGAAGATTCAGGTTGAGTACAAATTTGCAAAAGATTTGTTGGAAGTTTGTGATGCAAATCGTGATGGAAAGGTTGATTATCAAAAGTTTAGAGGGTAGAGGGTAAGTGGATAATGGAGAAATGGTGTCGTATAGATTTTTCAAACTGTTGATGTTGAACATAATGGCTGTATGTTGCATGAGGAAATATGGGATGCTATTGCTAAGGATGGTATTTGGTTTAGTTTTAGTTTTTTTATTTGGGGTTTTCTAGTTGTCTTTGATTTTCATTTTGTTGATATTTTTATTGTGCTAGATTGTGAAATTTCTTGAAAATTTTGTTGCTTCTATGAAAATTAGATAGTGATGAGAGAGAGAGAGAGACAGAGATTTCTTGGATTTTGGTAGAGGAAAAAATTAATAGATGGACTAAATCTTAAAAAAAAATTAAAGTTTAAGAAAAATCAAACTCAAAATTAGAAATTTGTGACTTAATCTTCAAAAGAATAAAATTTTAAGGGATATCAAATCCATTTAGCATAATTTTAATCCATTCAAATTTCTCTATCCAATTTTAATGCAAATCAAATCCTATATTCAAGAATATAAGTTAATGGTTGCAGGTGCTTTTCTACTCTCTTTTTTTTTTTTTTTTTACAAGTTCATTCTTCTACTCGTTCTTTTCATCTTGAATTCGCCATTTCGTTAATTTTTTGGCCTAATAGCGTTAAATTGTATCATTAGCTCTACATGATTGCAACACGTATCAATTTGTATTTTTTTTTTTTTTGGGCTTTAATCTCATCTATCGACTCTTTTTTCCATCTTAATCTCATACCTCTCTTTTTTTTTCAAATTAAAATAAAAAATTTTTTTAAAAAAAAGTGAAGATATATTCGAACTTTCTCTCTAAAATATATTTGTAAAAAAAAAAAAAAAGAGTTGAAGATAAAAATATTTTTTATCCAAAATATCCTTTTATGGGTTTCAAAAAAAAAAGTTGGTGTGGAATATAAATTTTGTATAGAGTTTTTGGGAATATAAATTCATTTACAAATTTTGGGTTTTTTTCTTTCAATCTCAATATATATATATATATATATATATATATATATATAATCTTTTTAGGCATTATAAATATTGTTCAAAAGCTTATAAATTAAACTAAAACTCTCTTCATATTAAAAAAAAAATACTATAATTATTTTATTTTTAGATAGAATGATTGGATATATTTGTATTTTCAATTTTTTTTATTTCCCAAAATTTATTTCTTGAAATTCAATAAATAAAAAAAAGACTAATACAAAACAGAGTAAAGAGATGAGATTAAAATGAAAAAAAGTAGAAATAGAAATTTAATGGAGGGAAGAGATTATGTAACACCTGAAACGTTGCATGATAATGTGTTGTGTGTGTTTCATAAATATGTGTACAAATATGCTTTAATTGTGTATTTAATTTCATATTTTAATGTGTTTTTGCATCAAGAAACGGATGATTAGTTGTTTGATTGTAGGGTTTGATATATTTTTGGGTGCGGCAAGTTGTATTTTTACTGGTAGGAATGAGTTCTACGACCTTAAGGACTCACCTAGGCTACTAGGACATCAAAAAAAAAAAAAAAAGGAAAAAAAACATAAAAACACTCCTTAACTTGAGATTTGAAGCTCTTGAGTTGATTTAAAGGTGCTTAAACACCTAAAAACATAGAATTAAGAGAGAGAAGCAAACATAGTGGGAAAAAATCAAGGTTTTGGTGATAAAACATTTAAGGTAAGAAAAATCTTTAATTTGGTTATGTTTTCATATTATTTTAGGTACGATTTAGTTGAGAAATTTCATGGCCTAGGATTAATTATATAAGAATTGTATTTTAATGCTAGAATCTTAAATTATAGTGAATATTTAATGATTAAGTGGATTTAAATAAGAATTGAGAAAGTTAATTGAAAAAAAAAGTGAGGAAAATGAAGAATTAGGTTATATGAATGCAATTAAGGATGAATGGAAAGAGAATTGAATGAATTAAAGTAGAATTGAATGTTTAATTAGGGCTTTGAATTGAAAAGTAATTTTAGAAAAATAAAGAATTAGGTTATAGAAATATAATTAAAGATAAATCGTGACACCTTCATGTAAGTCCATTGTAAAGACATATGGCAACTAGAAAATTATAAAAATAAAAAAACTAAAACTCCATCCTCATTCTTAGTATAAAAATAAAAATGATGATATGAAATTGTTTGAACTAAAAGATGGTTTGAATTTAGATCGGGTAAAATAGATTGATTAGAAAAGAAAAAAATTGTTGTATTTATTTTGGTAGTAATACTTTTTTATGCAAACATTTGTTAAATATTTTTTAAAGTTTTTAATTTGGATCTGATGGCGTGAAGCTTTTATTTATCACATGTCCGATAATGAGGTCTACATAATAATGCCACACGTATAGTTAACATACATTAGTCTAGAATCAACGTAACCACTCAAATAAAAAAATTGCAAGTTGATACACTTGAATTGTAAATATTAAAATTTATACATTCAAATAGAAAAAATTTACAAATTTACATACTAAGTATATAATTTTTTCTTTGTCAAGTGTATGGTAATAGGGCCTACATGACAATACCATGTGTATAGTTAATAACTACATCAAAATAAAGTTAATGATAATTAACAAAACTATCCAAATAAATAAATTACAAATCGATATATTAAAATAGAAAAGATTAAAGTTAAAACACTTAAATAAAAAAAATTAATAACTTTGTACAAAAAAATTATCTATAATTAACTTTTTTAAAAAAGTACAAACTTTAGTTTTCTTTGCTAACAAATGAAAGTCGTTCTTCACCCTTTTATACAACCCAATTCAAGCCTTGACTGAGTTCCAATCTCTAATCCATTTTCAATTTAACACTCTTCTATGATAATTGGATTTAATCCATTTTCGGTTTATAAAAAATAACAATAAAAAAATAGATTGGTTTTGTATAATTTCAACTTAATCTAATCTATATAGTAGTATTATTAAGTTATAGATCCTATTATATCTTTTACTAAAGGCTTCATCAATCGGATCTTTATTTTGGTTTTATAGATGCAACAGATTTATCTAAACCACCCAAAATTCAATTCTCTATCCCGATCGTGTTGGCGAATTCATCGAAGAAATTCACTCCCCTCCCAACGCCTAGCCACCACCGCTCCTCGCACTCGCTCTCCATTCAATCTAATCATCATCCTTCATGTTTCCACTTGACAAAGAATATTAGACTTGCATGTACGTGTATGTACGTTACGTGTTTATCTTAAACTTTGCATGTATGTTACGTGTTTATCTCGGTACCTTAGTTTTACTAGCTAGCTAATACCTTAGTTTTAGTTTTAGTATATGTTACGGTTTTAGTAGTTGAATTTACCTAAAACACTCTAAGTAGAGTAGCTGCTATTTAAAGGAGTACTGCAACTTTGTTTATGGAGGGTTTTTTAATTCGGAATAAACATTGGTTTTATACTTTTCAGCTTGGATTTTACAAGCACGGGCGGACTCTGCCATACTGCGTTTTACAACGCTGAAACAGAGGTTGTTCTTTCTTGCCTTCTTGCTGCGTCGGTTGGTATCGGAGCGAGGTTGCTCACTTATTCGATGGCAAGTGTCCCGATTACGATAGGCGGCGGTCCTCGTGGCGAAGATCGGAGGGCCGAGATCCCGAACTTTGGGGTGGCGTTGATAGCTTTAGAGCGGCGAATGGATCGCGGATTCCGGCGTTTAGAAGGACGTTTTGAAGAAATTATGGATCGACTAGATGCTCTAGGCATAGATGCCAACGAGAACCGGAATGATGATGGACCACGGTCCGAGAAGACGTTGCTCGTGGGCAAGCCGTCAACGGACTTGCTCCCGGTGTTCACGGACGTCGACAACAATTTTATGATGATGACTCGGACGAAGATGAATATTTTGAGGAACCTATGCTCGAGGCGTGCTCGATCAAGGGAGACGTAATTATGGGGATAAGGAAAATAATGGTTTCGGATTGAAGGTAGACATCCTTTATTTTAATGGAAACCTCAATATTGAAGAATTCATGGATTGGGTTGCTGATATAGAAAAGTTCATTGAATATATGGAGATCCCCGAAGGAAGAAGGGTGAAGCTAGTTGCATGTAGGCTAAAAGGGGAGCTTCGCTGGTGGGAAAGGTTGCAGGTCGGGAGGAACCGTGAGGGAAAGACACCAATCGGGACCCAGTACCGAATGAAACATCTCCCGATGAAGGAATTTCTTCCCCCGATTATGAACGGATTCTTTTCCAGCAGTACCAAAGATGCCATCGGGGCATGAAGACCGTGCATGAATACGAGTCTTGACTTCATGAGGTCAGGCCGAAAGGAATGACTTGAGGGAGATCGAAGGGCAACAAGTTGCTAGGTACTTGGAAGGTCTAAAACCAGTCATCGGGGACGGAATAAGGGTCCATGTAATAAGGACTTTATCGGAGGCTCGAAATATGGCCCTAAAGGCTGAACTAATGTTGCAAGAA